AATAATCACTCGCAATTATCATATTAATCATTACTCGCAAGCTGCATTTGGAATCGATATTAACGCAACGATAACTTATAGCCTTTCAGAGCTAATTACCGTGATTGTTCTTCGAGTATAAAATGGAAGACTCGTATCTCGATACAAAAATAGTGAATTACTATCGCGTAACGAACGAATCATCAAATCGATTCTTCGCCGGATGAGCACGGCGGTTGTCGCCAGCCACCAAAGATTCTGTCGATTTCTTGAGCCACGGCGATGCTCAGGTGATCGTTCCCAGTACCTGCGACTATCTTTAAGAAAGAAAACGTTTGAATGCATTTCATCGTTGAGTACTGCGCAAAGAGCGAACTGCAGTATAATTGAAAAAGTAATTACTTGGAGGCCAAGAGGTAAACCATTGGCGTTCAATCCCATTGGGCATTGAGTGACAGGCAATCCCAGAACGTTGAACAGCATCATGTAAGCGAAATTGGGGATATTGTTGAAGGATTCGTATCGATAATACGCTGCTGACACGAACGAAGGATAAATCATCACTCCGTTGTCGCCTAGAATATCCTGCAACGACGAAACCATAAATTGTTACCGATTAATCGTTTGATTAGTTTGTTTCAGGGATTCACCTCGAACTGTTTCTTCAGAGAAACTCTCTTCTCCGCCATTAGATTGCTGAAACCTCGTGGAAGTTTTCTGTAGATATACGCCGCCATCAAGTACCCGTACATGGCGAAAGTGTATCGCGACACCCTGAAGAGTTGCTTGAGTCCTTCCACGAACAGCGCGCAAACATTCTGTGTAATCGTTAAACGTTCGTTTATTTACATAATTGTTTGGAGTTGCTGTCATTTATATTTAACGTCGAATAGCGCTAACGTGAAGCTTTGTCGAAACTAGATACGATCCATGGAATATTTCTGGTTGTATTTGTTTTAATTAGATTTATACTTGGTTTAAAATCGTATTACGATGAAATAATCGCGTACCAAAGGGCCAAATTCCTGGACGACCTCTTCCACGTCCAGATTTAACAGCGCATACGCTGACAAGTTAAACGAGTACTTTATATCGCTCATGTGTACCTGAGGAACACCAAGGAATATCAAGTAGAGTAATAATATTAATTCTAATATTCGCATTCGAAGCGAATCCTTACTTGTTGCACTTTAACGCTATACGTCACTTCGAGGTACGTCCTCAGCTTCTGCATAACGTTCTTCATATCCCTATTGATGGAGTTGGCTTCGGCAGCACGGCCTTCCGTATAGAAGAATTTTATGTTCGCCAAAGGTGTCTGTGCGATATATGTACAATTAAATCTCTGATGAAACTTTGGATCGTTGATATTAATGTTTCAAAGTCCAATGCGTGTTTTAGATATAGAATTAAAATATGTGCGTGATTGTTTTAACCTTTTGATTGAGGCGACGACGACCCTCGTCCGTTTTACACATGACACTTATCACAAGAGGAAGATCCTCTGCGTATCTGGCTATGGTGCCCATGACAAAGAACTCATTCCACCTTACGTCGTAGGATATTGGCTTGTGACCCTTGATGGCCACCAAATCTGCAACGAATGATCTTCAACTTCGGACTACTGTTACTATTATACCGTTACCGTTACCGTTAACAAAGGAGATCGAGGAAAACTCACTGGGTGTAGGTTTGTGACCAAAAACTCCACAGAAGAGGGCTGGAAATCTCGCCGAGCCTGCGATGTCCGAAACAAGACTCACCACAGATGCTGCAGAGCCCGAAAGGGCTCCCTGGAACAGACAGAAATAACAAGTTTCATTTCGGTTCGGTTTATCGTAGTTACGTTTACTCGAGAAGGCGGTTACATGGACAATTTCAAAAGGGAAAACACAAACCTCGCCCCCAGAAGACCCGCCAGAAGTTTTTCTGGGGTCGTAGGGGTTGTTGGTACAGCCAGTCACGTTGTTGTTACTCTCCCAGAACAAGCACATCTCCGGAGTGTTGCTGACTAGCAAAATAATGGCTCCTGCTTTGCGAATCAAGCTCACGGCTTCGGCGTCCTCCTCTGCTTTCGTCGGGACATTTTCCTTGAAGCCCACCGTGTAGCACATCCCTGTAATAACGTTCGATATAAACGTTCGCTCTTCCTCTTAAAATGCAAACTAGCGTGATGTTTAACGTCGCATTTTTTTGCCCATTACTCGAGTCTTCCCTTTTAGCTAATATATTGCCGACGTGAAATAGAACCATGAAAAGATTGCGCGAACCTTTGACGGCTATGCTCTCCTTAACAGTCACAGGAACGCCAAGAAGAGGCATTTCGCGTGCCAGTTCCTCTGTGGTCTTCTCGGTTCGCGCCAAGAATTCGTCGTAACCTTTCGCCTCTTGAATGGCACTCTCGTATCGCGTGTCAACGATGGCGGTTATTATTGGATTCACGTCGTTGCATCTTTCTATGTAGGCTCTGATCACTGATACGCAGCTGACCTGAGGGCAGGAGGTTCGAAGAGTTATAGCGTAAGTTATACGTAGTTTTAGCGTGTAAGAATTGTTCTTTAAACCAAAAATTGCTTCATACTTTAAAGTCGATCGAATAAATCGAATCGATGAAATAACTCCAAAAATAGATTCCTACTCACCTTTCTTTCTCGAATTTGCTGTGCAATCTTGGTGGCTGATTGGAGCAGGAGTGGACTTTTAATCGGTGGCAATCGTTTTCGTTTCTTAAAGTATCGTAGTCTGTAAAATGGCGTGGTTATGCACGCCAGTATCCAAAACACGAACTTGAGCAGCTTCTGAACGATCACTGCCATTATCTCCTGCAAGGAACGTAAGAATTCGTCAGATGCGTTCTTTTCGCGTACAAACAGTACACAGGGTGTCCCAAAAGTCGGGGAGGAGCCGGAAATGGGGGGTAGCT